TAGAGGAAGCTACAGATGGTTTTTCGGACAAAACTTTTCTTGCTGAAGGTGGGTTTGGTGTGGTTCACAGAGGGGTTTTAAGGAATGGGTTGATCATTGCAGTGAAGCGATTAAAGTTAGCTGGGGCTCAAAGAGAAGATGATTTCTGCACACAAGTGCGAGTATTGAGCTGTGCCCAGCACAGAAATGTTGTGTTGCTTATTGGTTTTTGCATTGAACGGAAGAAGAGATTACTGGTTTATGAGTACATATGCAATGGCTCCTTGGACTTTCATTTACACGGTATCTTCTGTTACCTCCACGTTCAGCTACTGATTATTGCTCCCCAAAGTAATTTGGATTTTGGTCGTATGTATACATTTGCAGGAGAGAAAAGACTGACGCTGGATTGGCATTCGCGTTTAAAGATAGCTATTGGGACTGCAAGAGGCTTGCGATACCTTCATGAAGATTGCAGAGTGGGATGTATAATTCACCGAGATATGCGTCCGAACAACATCCTCTTAACACATGATTTCGAACCTCTGGTATAATTCATTGATGTTCTAGAAGCATGTATTTCTCAAGTTGATTATGTTAGAAATGTAGTGTTTAAATTCTTTTACGTTCTACGAAATTACTAACTAGTTTCAATCTGAGTAAACAAACTCTTTCCGCAAAAGCTATCTGCCAATAGCAATAGACTGAAAGCAACTTCTTGGAATTAAAGTAGATACTTCAGTTAATCTTAACTGTTAAGAAACCCTTATTTAATGAAATTTATTTTTTTAGTCTATCTATGTTGTCCATTCAATTTTAGGTTGCTGATTTTGGACTTGCAACGCTGCACTGTGAGTGGGACTCTAGCGATGGTGACCAAATAGTTAAAACTTCAGGGTAAGCATCAAACATGAAATTTTTATGGGACACTGCATGGCTATTTATATGTTCAGTTTATAGTTACTACACTGAGTTCAACCTATAAAGACATCGCAATTTCTGGTTATTTGTGGGACTTTTGGATGAGTTGTCTTTGTTTTTACTTATCCAGGTATCTTGCACCAGAATACTTCAATGGTGGAAATATGACAGAGAAAGTTGATGTATATGCTTTTGGTGTGGTATTATTAGAACTAATCACTGGTGAAAGAGCTGGTGACTTGCTATATTGCATCGACCGTCAACTATTCCTCGATAATTTCCATCCTTCATCTGCCATTGAACCAATTCAACGTATGCATATGTTGAGTTACAAGCACCAATTGCTGGACTCCTGTTTGGCCTCTTACCAAATACAAAGCTTGCCCTATGAGATTCAGGCAATGGGTTATGCTGCCTCGTTGTGTCTACAGCAGAATCCTGAGTTGAGACCGCCTATGTCAAAGGTTTTATACTCATCTCAGAATACAATTTTTCTCATCTTAGGTGCAATATCAATTTCATTTTTCTCCTATGAAATATAGGTACTGAGAATACTAGAAGGAGGAAGTGCTGTTACTCCTCAGTCTTTGGACTTGAATTCAGTTGGTAGTAGAAGTGGTCACATGGAAGGAATGAATTCAAAAAAACAACTTGAATCCAAGATGAGGCACTCCCGCAGGTTGTCTTATTGAACATACTATTGAGTCCTTATATTCCTTCTTGGATGAGTTGCTTATGTCCTAATTGTTAAGATTCTTAAATTTGTCTATCACATTGTAACGACGATCAAATTATTGAGATCTATGTTGATTGATCCTAGTGGAACAATGTTGATTTTTGTAAATCAGTCTGATTTGCAGCTTCCAAAAGTCTTGAGAATGTACTTCAGTTTGTACATCAGGAGAGGCAGTCTTCATTGGACATAATTCATCCAAAGCAGAGCAATTTGCAGTCTAATGAATTCTCGGTTAGATATACTGGTCCGATCTAGTTATTAATAATTATGAAAGGTATTGTCAAAATTGTTATGTTAAAGCGAGAATAGGCAATAGAAAAAATAAATAGAACACACAGATTTACGTGAAAAACTTAAACGAGAAAAAACAATGGACAGAGAAGGAAAAATTTACTATATCAAAAGATGAGTACAAAATATTAGCGTTTTGATGGCCACACCAAATAATACATTGAAACCTCTCACTCTCACTCTCACTCTCACTCTCACTCTCACACTCTCTCATACACACACAGACGTGTGTGTATGCGTGCGTGTTTGCGTGCGTGCACGAGAGAATAATAAATGTGTGTATGCGTGCGTGCGTGCACGAGAGAATAATAAAACATACACCTTTAAAAACTCTTATAATTTTGGTTTTACTACATGTGTCGCACAAGGAACTTTTTGGGTTGGACCTATAAAATTAGGGTCATCGTATTCTAACAAAATTAAATTAAGAATGTGTAATCACGAGAAATTAGAGGCGGGTCGAGCAACTTTAGGTCTTTGGCCAAAATTGCCAAGGGACATTTTCAATAATATCAACAATAGTAACTTTAAGGGTAATTTATAATTATATTTAGTTCAAAGTTTTTATTTTTTATACTGTACCACATTTTAATTGCACTTAAGGTCTTCATTCTTTTTTTATTATAGCACTTATGTTTCAATTTTTTCATTGCATTCTTTTCTCCATTCTTCTATTAATTAACACATCATACATTTGATAATGTTTTCCATCCAAAATTTCTGTTGAGTAAAATAAGTCCCTATTTGGTGGCCTTTTTTTGTTGGAAAAACATTGTTTTGAATAGTAAATTCTTGGAGAATGTGTGATTAAAAAGTACGTAAAAATTTTGAGTTTACGTATAGAATATTTTATTGTGTGAATGTGTGATTGAAAATAAGTATGTAGAAAAAAGAATTTTGAAAGAATGGAAGACAAATATGGGCTAACTTATTTGCTAATCATATTTTTAATATAACTAGTAGTAAGCACGTTGCACATTTTTATGTGTTTGATGAATGTTATGTATTTGCTAATCATATATATATATATATACAGGAATGATCTAATGAGCACCGGTGCTCATCTTATCCTAAGCACCGATGAGTTGNATATATATATATATATATATATGTAATGTTATGGTTACAATAATACTGCTTTATATACAATATGTTTTGTCAATTTCCCACGTCATTTTTTTTGTGTGTGCTTTTATTAAGACTCTTGTTGTTTGCATAGAAACTCTGTGAGAAAGTGCGACATATAATTGTTCATGAGAGAATATATGTTTAGGAAGGTATATTCCTACAGTTGGCATTGTTTGTCCTTGAGCCTTGTTAATAGTCGTTACAAAGTATAGACGTATTGAAAATTGTTTCCTTTTGAATTTGAATGGATATCATTTATTATTTGTTGGAGTTAATGGGATGCATGAAAGAAAAACTTGTTTTTCAGCATGTTATCTTGAAATCACAACAAATCATTTTTGTTCCATTGCAAAAACCATTCAATAGGTCCAAATTGCTCAAGAGCATCACTGGAGAATTTCTTTTCAATATTAACTTATGTGGCAGGATACCATTTGACAAAAATGTATTTAGGAACTCCTCTTAATAAAATTAATTTGTATCATCTATTGTTTCGTCAAATCTGACAAATTCTTCACTTTTTCAGGAAATAACCTAATTAGTTTGTCATTGATGTAGTAAACGTACTCTTTTTTTTTTTTTTGAAAGAATTCCACGTTGTGTTATATAATTAGAAAAAGATGATGTATTTTCCATTAAACCAAGGAACACTGAATTGATTAAGTGTAACTCCAAATTTTCACTATCGTCACATGCTATAACTATCTCCTTTGGTAAGGTGATGAAGTCATTATCTATGTAAGGTTCTATTTCATTCCCAATTTTGATTAAGTACTGTACAAATCGATTGTCCACTATTATTTTTAATCTGTAATATTAGGATTGAAAATTTTTAAATGTATAAGTAATATTTTTTAAAATAAATATTATATATTAATATTAACGGATGTAATAAAATATGCCAATTCAAGTTAATTATATACGTGGTATTATTATAATTTCTCTTAATTGTATGTAATAATATTTTTATTAATTGTGTATTAATAGTTAGTAATAATTGTGTTTAGAGGAAATTAATTGACTTGTTTTTTAAAAGCAATATGAATTATTAATTATCTTATTTAGAGAAAATAAATTGAATCATTTGGTATTATGTAGTTAACCTTTGATATTCCATAGTAAACTTTATATGTTGTATTATTATAATTTCTTTTACTTTTATGTTATAATGTTTTTATTAAGTGTGTACTGATAATTAGTAATAAATGTGTCTAGTGGAAATTAATTGAATTAATTTTTTAAAGCAATAATTATTATTAATTATCTTATTTAAAGGAAATGAATTGAAACATTTGGTATTTCGTAGTTAACATTTGGAATTCCTAGTGCATTATAATGTAATAGTTTTTTATTGACTCAAGCATAAAATCACCAATTGTCATGTGTATGCCACATAGGACGACTGTCGTAGTAAGTAACTACGAATAAAATTGCTCTTATATATAATTGTATATTAATAATTAATAATAATTGTGTTTAGTGGAAATTAATTGACTTACTTTTTTAAAGCAATAATGATTATTAATTATCTTATTTAGAGGTAATAAATCGAATAATTTTGGTATTCCGTTTTTATTTAAACTTAGGTATATTCATGTGTAACTGTCAATTAAAATAATTTTAAAATAAAGGTAAATAATAAATATAACATATTAACGCAACCTTTCAATTTTTTATTTTTTTAAACCATGAGGGTATATTGAGCATATAGATAAATATGTAAGGATAAAAGTGGTATTCAAAAGTTTCTCCCCAATTTTCACTTTTAATATATTGTAGATAATAAATAATACAACAAACTACTATTTTCTTCATTTCAAGTAACACGATGAATATTTCGATAGATTTAAATGGAAGGTTGAAGATAAGAATTCAAAGAAAAAAGGTTTAAGAATAAGTGTTACACTGAGCAAAAGTTGAGGACTACAAATATAATTAAATTATGGTGAAACAAATAAAAACTATGGTGGGCATAAAAGCACCCAATATTTAACTAAGCAAATGAGCACTCCATAAGGGTTGATGATATTGCCGTCAAGGATTCTCATGAAAAATAATATGTTGCTGAATTGGACGAAATTACAAATAGCAATATTGTCGATGACCATCAGTCAACTCCATCGATGATTAGAATTAAACATATAATTTATCTACAAATTATCACATTTACTACAAATCTTTACTTTTTAATCAAATTTTCAAGTGATTAGAATCTAAATTTGCATTTTCTCCTATCAAACTGTATATATAGAATTTGTCTAAACTTATTATATCACATTTGACTTATATTTAACGAATTGTGTTTATGCGATTGATTATTAGTATTGAATATTAGTTATATGTTTTTT